AAACATATTTTGGAGATAAAGCCATATAATGGGCAAGTGATAGGATTTGTTTTTGTTAAAAGTATCTCCTTTTCACTGTTACAATTATATCACTCTAACAGGATTGGGGACTGGTGGCTGTGTGACCTTAGAAAACTTCCTCAGAAATGTTGTGTCTGCCTTCATAGCAGGTGACTTTCTGGTGTAATTTACCTTGACATTTTTACCTGCTAGTGATTGCAGGTCACACAGAAAAATGTTACTCAATAGGCATGAGAAAGGGTTTAGTTTAGTGTTGGTTCCACGGGATGATTTGAGAGAGTAGTTGTTGGGAAGGATAGTACAGTTTGAGAGTGTTTGTGCATTTAATGTATTCCTTTGGAAGGCATGCGAAAAGATGGTTGGTAGAGGGACCGACTCTTAAAATGCTGAAAATCTCATTAATTTCGATTGGCTGTATAGGTGCTTTTAATTACCATGCTTGAAATGAGATTTAATATGGCATGGCAATAAAATAAGTAACTATGACTACCTAACTAATCATTGAAATGGCATCACCCCTCACCCCCCTAATTTTTTCCAACTGGAGCTGAACATAGAAAGCACATGCTTTAAAAAAAAAAAAAAAATCAAGAAAGGAGGCAGAGCTTGTCCTGCTTTCATAGGATTGCTAGTAAGCGTGTGTTAGGTGTGGGAGTTTTTAAAAACACTTTTAAATAGCAAAAGAACTGGCAACATGTAATCTCACTTGTCGCTTTGGTTTGCTGTGTGTCTTTGGAAATGAGTACTAAGCTGGTGTGGAGCACTGCAGGTTCTCTGATGCTTTGTGCCCTGTATAGCCTTTAGCAATAAATATGTACCAGGCAATTGCAAAATGTTCCCATCAGGGCATGCTGGCTTGTTGTCCTTGCTGAGTTTTAACTCTGTGCAGATAGGAAAGCATACAGGGTAAGAGAAATCTACCTGCTGTCTGTATTTTCAATTATTGTGCAGTTGATGAAATGGCTAACTAGTGCATTTTTGGCTGCTATTGTACATTAGTGTAGAGATGGCAGCCTGTTAATATTCAGCGAAGTCTTATATAAGTGGAAGTGTTTCATATCTTCTGTTTTCAATGTGGTTTTACCGAAAGCCCTTTTGAATTTCAGTGAACATTCTGGAATGCGATTCTTGAAAGAGAAGTCTCTAAAAATTGAGCAAGTACAACTTTCCCATCACTGTTGATATCGATAATGGTATGATTAATTTAAATGCTAACATTCATGGTATAGGTGTGCTTCTCATAACTGTAACAGTCTGACCATGTTTCTTTGAACCTGTTAAGAAAAATCAAAACCTGGTGAGGTTAAATAAAGGCTGATTTATTGATGGACGTCATTACCTTACCTGCATTTAAGGGAATGAAAATTAACTTTGTGGAGAAAAAGAGTACACTAAGGATAACTAGTCAAGAAAATGTGTTAACTGATGTTTTATGTTGAAAAATTAGTAATAACACAGGTAAAATATGAGGGTTGGAATCTGTATCTGAGATGATGTTCAGAATGCAATCTGCAAAATACTGAAGTACCAAGCAGTATTTCTGCCATGGCGTCATTTATTCAGGACCTTTCTCGGTGTCTGGATATAAGCAACAAAAGTACTGCAGATGCCTAACCCAGTATTCATAGATAATTCCCTTTCTCTTCTGAACTAAAATTTCCAGAGATGGTGAAGCTTATGTCCATGAGGCTATGTGCTCATAATGAGAAAAAAAAAAATTAGATAATGAATGTTGCACAGATTTATTTTAATGTAGATAAACTTGGAGCATTGGATTAGAAATATGAGCTCCCATGAAAAACAAGGTGATGCTCTACCCTTCGTATCAACTTCTCTTTTGGGGAAAAAGAGCATCTAAATAAAACGTTCTCCTTTCTGACCAAAAGATAGCTTGTATACAGGACAGTCTTGGTGAAATTATGTCTCAGCTGGAAAGAAAGATGAGTTTACTTTATGTAGCAGTTGGAGGTTCTTAGAAATATCAGTCAGTCAGTTACCAGAGTGGTAAATTAAATCTTGAGAGCCAGAGTTCGCTCATCAGTACGCAATGATATGAAAGTGGCAAGGAGAGAGACAGACAACTGCATCAGGTCTGAATGTTTATGCTCTTGATGGAAAAGTACAAATCATTTCCTTCCCTTCTGCTGCTGTCATGGTCTATCACTTTAGTCCATTTTCACCTTGCGAAGGGATTCAGAATGGGCCTTCCTCCTTTGGCACCTAATTAATCTCTCACAAGCCTGTTCTTGCAGCCTGTCTGCCTGGGATGGTCCCTATCTTATGTCAGTGACTCACAAACAAAATGTTCTTTTTTCCTTTACTTTTTTTCCTTTTCCTGTGTTCTTTCACCCCAAGCCCCCTCAAGCGGGTTGAAAATATTATTCTCCCTCTGCCTTTGAAAAGGATGTATATACGTCCTGTTATCACAGGAAAATATCCCCTTCTAGTGGAACACTGTCACACTGTGGTATGTAAAGTTGTCCATGTTTTCAAAATTAGTAAGTGCCTATAAAATTATACAGCCAGCTTTTGATTCTCAGAAACTGTTCAGCAACTCGAAGTCCTTACAGTGTAACAGGCAAGCAGAAAATCATCGGACACTTTTGAAAAAGGTGGCATACCTATACACAAAAAGAAGTATATGATCTAAAATGAAAAAAGCATATTCTCTGGTGCAAAACATTACCATGAGACTGTGAAACAAAAATTTATTTTATTGAAGTTATTTTATTGTTATATATCAAGTGATCATGAATATCAGATATCTTGTGCACCGAGCTCTAACAGCCACAATACTTTATGAATAGTTTAAAATGAGTCCTTGTGATAAAATAACACATGTAGTCTATATAACAGATAATACTGAATAGTATAATGTATTACCTATAATACAAAAACATAGATTCTGTAAAATGATACCAGCGGAATCTAGTATTCCTTTGAAATATAGTTCCTGGATAATATTTCTGCTCAGAAACAACTTCTCTCCCTTCTGCTGTCCCTTCTGTGGAGACAGGCTTGGTATTCAGCGCAGCGTGTGCATTTCAGTCTGGGAAATGGAATGGCATTAAAATAGGTCTGAGAAGTCACTTTGTTAGATGAGTGATCAGGGGTAGTGTCCATCAAAACCCGTTCTCTCTGCTGACCTATATCTGATCTGCAGATACTGATCTTCTGTGCTGTTGATACAAACCTACAAAAGCTCCGAGAGTCTTCTGGTGACATACAGGCAGGAAGAAAAGGGAAAAGAAAAAAAAAAAAAAGAAAAGAAAAATTCACATCTTTAATTCCTTCTGTTGACAGCTTCCTTAATAAATATTGTAAAAAAATTTTCTGTTAAGAGCCACCCAGTAATCTAATTTGCAAGCCTCGATGATATATTCAGCAGCCAGCTCAGGGGAGGTGTGTTTCTACTGTCAGAATCACATGAGCAGGGAATAAAATTCTGAGCTCTCACTGAGAGCTGTAATAATTTATAATGAGTTGTTGGCTTTTATTTTTTTTATACTATTTTGGAGTCAGCTGAACAAAGAGGATAAAACTACTACTGACTTTACATTGATTAGGTTTTTCTATAGTATGCTCACCTACCTGTATGTTTTCACTGCAAATTCATGAAGTTTCATGTATATCTAAAGAAATCATAGACTGAAACACGTATCACCATGGGTGACTCTGTATACAGCCATAATGGGTGGTGAATTCAATTCAGTTGTCTCCAATCTTGATACCCTTGTGTAAGAGTTAAGTCTTTGCCTTTCTGTTCAGTTTGAATAATCCAAGATTGGTTTGTTACCTTCTGTGTGATCCTGGTGAGTCATCCTTGGGCTCTTCCTTCTCCTCTCCTGGACTCCAGTTTAAGGAACATCCTTCTTTGGTGTGCACGTAGAAAACAAAACTAGCCAAAAAGCTTTTACAAGGTCATAGCTATATAGCCTGAAGTGAGAGAACTGATTCTCAGCGGTGTCATAGTAGTTGTGTCTCTATTCCTTACAGTGGGAAAAGCTTCCGGTCTTGTGTTCCATCTGTATCGGGTTCATACACTGAACTGAGAAGGGTCAACAGTGTTGTCTTAGAAATTAAGTCATTAAAAGATGAGAAAGCAAAGCAAAAATATCAGAAAGCAAAATAAAACCCTCTAGGGTATTACTTCATAGCTGATCAGCTGGGAGAAGGCGGGATAGTTGGAAGTCTTTGCATTGAAAGAACTTCCAGAACCATGTCACAGAGTAATTCCACCTGCACTGTGGTCAGTTCATGGTAAAGACCTCAATGCTTGGGGTTCACCTTTGTTTCCTCACATCTGCTTTAAGAACTTACAGCTTACGATGGCTACTCGTGGGGCTCATCCATAGCAAGAGACCTCTTCTTCGGGGAAACGGCCTTTTGGGTGTCCACAGTGACAAGACTTTACCTGCAGTGAAGAACTCCCAGACATCACTTAGTTTCTACAAGTCTTTCTGCAGAGCTTAAGAAGAAAGGCTGCCAGCACTCTCTGGTTTTTCTTCAAGGTGCATGCTGGCATGGTGCTATAGATTTCTTAGTCCCTTTGTAAGCAAGAAGGAATAAGATATCTTTAAAAAGGAAATGGTGCTGTCCCCATCCTACCTTTTCATCCACGTTCCTTTTAAATTCTATATCAACCAAGGTTTTGAGGAAGCACCCAGGAAACAAAAAGTGGTGCTTTCATTGTTCCTCTTTGCAATTCCATCCTTTAAAACCTGCTTCTCCATATTTATTTTTTTTTTTACCTTTCCATTATAGTCTTCGTTACTGGGAAGCAATCACTAATGGGTTTGGGTTTTTTTATTTTCACTGTGGTGTAGTGCTTGGGTGATGAATAGCTGTCAACATTCATTTTTTTCCTAAAGAGTAGCTAGGAAAGATACATGAAATGTGTTACTAATTTACCTAAACTTGTCTCTTGTTCTTATTATCCTGAATGGCAAGTGCTGTATTTCAGGTGTTTTCTTTTGCAGGGAGAGATGCAGATACACGACGTGTGGCTATAAAGATTCAGTCAATACCATTGAGTTTCTTCTATTCTCCAACACTGTTCTCACAGCTCTGCTGATAAGACTTTATCTCTCTGGGATGCCAGAACGGTAAGCAGTCTTTTTCTTGGTGTGTCTTGAATTCAAGCAAAGTGATAGCAAGTATGGTGTGAGAAAAATGAAAGCGAGTGTAAAATCAAAATAGAAAGTAAGGGTGATGTTGGCAATAGAATATTCGCTAACATGGCTATTATCTTCTGACCAAAAAGATTACCAAAAATATGACTGACTCCTCACAGTGCAACAAACGGACATGCACCCAGATCACTGAATAAATAGGTAAACTTAATTAGGTGGTGGTGGGTTTAGCAACTAATGGTCTGGGTCTGGAAGCCTGCATTGCTGTTCACTGTGCTTTATCAGCTCAATAGATAGAGCAGCTGAAGGTCAGCTTTGTTGGGCTGCTTTTGTAAGTGCTGGCGTGTGCTTTAAGTTATGTACAAAGGAAATGGGGGAAAATGCCACAGGAGAAACACAAGCTGCATGGAAGTCTAATATATTTATTCCTCCTCTAGAAGGGATCCCTCCCCAGCCCCCAGAACTCACTGCTGATTTTTCATGGAATATGTGTTATTTTCTCCATAATATATCACTGTAGGTAGTGTCAGAAACTCTGCGTCTTCTTTTACTCTTCTCCACCTTCATTCTTTGGTATAGGTAGAAATGGATTTAGTACATTAGAGAGTGTATTTGTCCCTGCTGCTTTGCAGACCAAATATGTAAATCCTGTTCAAGTAGAATACGAGAACAAGACAAGAGGAATTTTTTTTCTCTCTCATCAGAAAATTCAATAATTATTGCTGCTGTTGTGGTATTTGTCATAGAGCAGCTCTTGAAATTCTCAAGTCGCTACTTCAGTTGATATTACGGTCGCTTTGCGTTTCTCAAATGTTGTAAAGATACAAGATTCCAGCCCAGAATGGAGAAGGTTGTATTCATGGAAGGGATTTGAGAGGAAGGAGGCAAAGAGCTGTTGCTGTGTATTAATAGGTATTGTCATCAGAGGTATACAAACATAGGATAAGAAAAACTGACATGAAAATGACAGTGGAATATTTGAGATGCTCATTAGGCAATTTCTATTTATGTATCATAGAAACCAACTGAACAGAAAGTCATTTAATAATAATCCTGGGCATAAAGCACAAGTTAAAATGAAGCCAGTCAAGACTCATTATTCTTAAATGTGTGGGTTTGTAAGAATATTTGATATCCAAATATGAATAATTCAAAGAGAGGAAAAAAAATATTAAAAAAAAAACAAAAGTAGAAAACTCAGTGAAAAAATAGATTTCTGCTTTGTTTTCAATAAATCCTGCAAGGAACTTTGTCTTGCAAATGTCTCGGTAATCTTCCGTTCATAGCAAATTAACAGAATTATAAAAGAGTTTTTATTTGAACTTACGGAAAAAGCCTGCTCAATTTTTGTTCACCAGCACTGTTTTTCTGCTTTGGGTAATTTTGCTGAGATAGGAAAGACCTTTTGCGAAAAGAAAACATCATATATGGCATTTTGTTGTGCATTTATTCTGTTGAATTGTTTCCCTAGTCAGTGGGAAATCTTGCACATTTCAGATATGTGCCCACATTGAAGCATCACTTAAGTGGTGAAATCACTGTGAAGATGCTATCTCCCTCCAAATGCTGAATGATATTTAATGTTCCCTCCAGAAAGAAGATGAATGATTTTCTCCCATTAATTTGGAACAGAATATTTTCTCACCTCTGTGAGATTAATTAGCATTAAGGAGTACATTTAAGATAATTTTAATGAAACATAAAAATCATACTCCAGTTTGTTTTCTCATAAATTAGATTCATATTATTAATCACATCTTGCTCTTCAATCATTAACTTTAGTCAGCTCTTTATTATTAAAGATAATGGATGCAGAGAACTGTAAGTCAAAGCGGTACAAGTTGAATGGACAATGAGTTCTGGATTTGGGGCAGAATGGAACATAAATCTTTGTAATTACCAAGCTGAAACTATAATGCAGCCTTCAGACTTTTGAAACACATGACATTACTTTTTTTTTTTTCCCTCCCCCCCCCCCCCCCCCCCCGATAACTTAGGGTCAGATCTAATGGTTCAGAAAAATCTACAGCGCATTGACTGTCATTTTAAAACTAAGATATATGTAGCCTACGGGGAAATGAGAACACAGAAACATGAATAGTATTTAGATGATTATGGCTCTTTCCAAACATTCTGGGAGAAAATGCAGAGTTGGTTTTGGATTTGGATGGGAACCATCTTCATACCGTGCCAGAATACCAGTAGATAAGATGTATGAGACTGAGGCTGTAATTCATTGGTAGGAATTTCTTGCCAGTAGAGCTGATGGCTCTTGTGCCAAGATAAGCTGCAGAATTTATTTCTCTTTATGCCACTTTCATAGAAAGACAAGCATATTCTGGCTTTTCACGAGAATATTTTCTCGCTGACACATCAGAGTGAGCATCTCTACTCATGAATTGCAAAGTGTGTCCAATGATAAATGTGAGAGGTGCAAAAGAACACGAGACCCCGAGAGTACAAGTTCACCTGCCTGGGTTAATTCTTCTCATGATAAGCGGTCTGCCGCTCATCTGCGTCTCCCGCGTTCTGATGAGTAATTTCTTGGGGCTAGTCAGATTTGTCTGGATAACATTTGAGCCAAGCTGAATCTTTGCTCTTTCTCAGACAGATAAAATGCTAAATATTTATACACTTAAATAATTAAATAGAGGGAAAAAAAGTACTCACATTTTTCATTCTGCATGTTTGAAACTTATTGATTTAGTAACTGTCTCATCTGCTTTCTGATTTTTGAAATGTCAGGTTCTATAACCGGATATTTTATTTTTTTTTCAAAAGTTGTGCAGTGAAGTGGTAGTCATTTAGAAGTCAGCATTCAGTAGTGATACCCTAAAGACTGTGTCCAACAAAGATTTGGAAAGACTTGTGTGTGTACTTAATTGGACAGTCCCATTCACATCAGTGATACTATTCTTGTGAATAAAGTTCAGCACATGTACAGCTCTGTAAAAAGTTAGATGCATGCAATGCTCTATTTTTCTATTTGATTTTGTGAAGTACTAAGCATTTGAGATACTGTTTGATAATTGTTTGATTCATCTTGGTCTCTACTGATCACTGATATTCAAGTGCTTGTAGTTTAATTTTTTAATTATCCAGGGTGTATTTCTGACTTTATGCAATGTTGCCTAGTGATTTAAGATGAGCCCTATTTTTCTGCATTCCTTTTGCAGAAGACTGCTGGCATATAACACAAACAAAAGGATCCTGTTTGCACCCCGCTATCAAACTAATATCCCTGACATCCAGATAGGAAGGCATCCGGCATGTCAACTTTTTACTATTTGGGTCAAAGAAGACTTAAATAGGGGTAAGACAGCACAGCAGAGCAGTGACCAGATGCAAGTTCTAGCTCTGTGCATCAAATTTTATCCTTGACAGTAATTTGTGAGCTGAACAGCACAATCAAAAGTTAGAAGCTTCGAGGTAGTGTGGTCTTTGATGAATAATGCAGGCACCAATCTCAGAGGAAAAAAGAAAAAAACAGAATGATACTGTCCAAAATCCTGCTTTAACAGCAGCAAATAGCTCCCAGTAATGATAATTCATTGTCATTGAGGCAGAACCTGACTGTGGCCATCATACTCCTCAGACTGATGTAAATTTTCCCCCCTGCTCCAAAGTGAGGGAGTGGGAATCCAGGCAGAGCCTCCTCTCAGGCTCATGCAGGGGTATCTCTTTGTGGATGTGAAGGAATTGGTTCTCTCTTAGCCCCTGGAAATGTTTCATGAGTGTGGTGCAGCACACTTCATGTAGTAGGGCAGGCTGGACTTTCAGGGACACATTACACTGAGAGAAAGACATTAGGAAGAACCATTAGGAAAAGACTGAGAGGCAGCTGGATGTTCCTTTAGGGCAGGTTTTTTTCCTTTAAATGTGGCATTGGATAAAAAAGGGTCTTATGTACCGCCCTTTTTAAAAGCATTGCCTCCTAATAAATTGAGCCTTCGGTACTCATGTTGTCTGCTTATTATTTTCTGCTACTGGCTTCTGAATGTTAGCCAGAGTTCAATGGAGTTTAAGTTTCCATGCAATTAGGTCTCTGGGCAACAGCAGGGAAACCCAAATGAGTCTCCCGCCTGGTAGGAGAAGTGGCAGGGGGTGCTCAGCCCTCCTGTCAGGCATCACCTTTCCTGTGGTCCACAGCAACCCCACCGCCCTTGTTCTAGAGTGGCTACAGGTGGTCAGGTAGGGACCCTGTCTGGGACTTTTCTTGGCTTTTCATGACCTACCCCATAGACTTTTAGATCCTGAAATGATCTGTCTGTGAGTTCAAAGAAATAACAGAGTAAATCCCCAAGAATTTGGGGTGGCATAATTTGCATTTTTGCAGTCTTGTAAAAGGCATCTGATTTAAGGCATACAGATAATTTAAGGACAGTAGCTATTTAAAAGGGCTTTTCACACTGTGTCCTACCGGAGAACAAATACTTATGTGCACCAGTTTTTGAGCTCTCTGCTAAGGTTGCCAGCTGTGGTGTGGCATTTTAATGATGAGGGCTTAGCTGCTTATGTGTTTCATGTGAATGTAGAATAATTACACTGATGCTGATCTAAGCTCCGGTCTTGCAATTTTTGCCTTCACAATACAGCCCATCTTCCCCCACCGTGTGATGTCTGTGGCATGGGACAACCCTGCTGGGTTCCTGTTGCAACTGGATTGTGTCTAGAAGCTATTAACTCTTACTTGATTAAATTCAGCACAAGTGTTCCAAACTAGTAATTTCCTTAGATAACCTTTTTTCTTTCTTCTAATGACATTCTCATTTAGACCACTTATTTTTCAGTGTTGATTTTGTCAGAACTTAATAATTTTCAAATTAATAATTCCCTAAAATAACCTGTTCTATTTTTGTTTCTTCCATTTAACTATAAATTATCTTCTAGTCTACTTGGTTTTCAACACTGATTTAGTCAGAACTTTTTCATCATTAGCTTTAAAGCATGTGGGGACACCCAGATCTTTGTAG